TCAGAGGCGGCAGCGCGGGGTGCCAGGCAGGAGCTGGTCTCTGAGGGAAGCCAGTTTAAAAACCAGCTTCCCTCATGGACTGGCTGCCTGTTGCCCCATGCTGCTTCCTCTGATGCAGCAGCAGCAGTCCTTCTCTAGGGGTGGGTCTGAGCTCCCAGATCCGGCACAAGCTGGAACTGAACCAGGCTGCCTGCCCACCTGGCTCCTAATACACTTTAGATGCAGAGCCACAACAGGGATAGGTCCCAGACCTGGCTTGAGCCAGGACTGAGTCAGGGTGCTGGCCAGCCTGCTAAAAATGTACTGGCGGGGGTGGGGGAGGGGGGAAATGTGTGTGGTCTATAGCATTAACCTATAAGCTTTTGCTTATCAATTAATTGACTACGCTATTACGTCCCTTGTTTGACTGGGATACATTTTGCTGCTTCTGTATCTCACTTGTCTCTTCTCATTGACTCTGACAGTATGGTGAAGTGCTGAACTTGGTGTTATCAAGTAAGAAGACTGGGAGTGCGGTTGTGGAGTTTGCTACAGTTAAAGCTGCTGTAAGTTTAGCAGAATACTTCAGGATTTATTTGTTGGGAAGTCTGGAGGTGGACAAGGGAATATTGATTGATGTTGTGGAGAAAAACTGGAACTGGCTGGTGATGGTGAGGATGCTGTTACATGTAATCAAGGCAGTGAAGAGAAGTATAACTGGAGCCTGGTCTGTATGGGAACAAAATTCTAGGGCCACGTCCTCAGCTAGTATAAATTGCCATAGCTCCATTAACTTTAACTGAGCTCTGACTCATTAAAACAGGTTGAGGCTCTTACTCGTATTCTTTTATTCTTTATACCAAAAAATTATTCATGTTCCTTGTACCAAATGCACTGAGAGTGGTAATTCCTGTTTGACACCAATGTAGCCTTCGTAAAAGGGTATTCTTCACTGGCAATGGGCTGCAGTGGATCCTGAAGTTTTGTGCCCTATTTGGCCTGGCTTTTGGATTAAGCATGGGAAATCCTACTTACTAATTTCAATAGTGAGATGAGGATGGTGGTGGGTTTTGAAATGAAGATGGTGATGGGAGCATGTTCTCACTGATAGGAGATGGCAGTGAAGAATGAAGTTGGTTTGATAACTAACCCTCTAAAGATCTCCTGGTTAGAGGGTCAGCCACAGAACAATCCCAGCATGAAGTTCCCTGATAGCACTCGCCAGCCTAGAGCTTCTCAGGTAAGAAGAACACAGGCACTTTGTCACTTGTGTAGCAACCCAAACTGATATTCTGCTTCACACACATAGTAAGAATATGTTCCTTCCCTGGACAGTTTACTGAGGGTCTCCTCACTAGATATCTGCCTTCCTATTCAGCCTTTGATATTTTATAATGCTCCAGTGGCCTTTTCAGAAGTATCTCTGCCATTGGAAACAGCAAAATGAGAGACAGGCTACTTGGATCATTTCATCCTCCTCTTAGTCTTTCTCTTTCCAACTGAGAAGCAGAGAAATTCTCTGCTCAGCAATAAGGTCCTGTAGACTCTTCCCCGTGGATTTATTATAATTGATAAGAATGTACATTTTCCCTGATGCTGAAGGTCCTTTGATGGATTGCTGATTAAAGGGTTGAACCAGAATTCCTTCAAAGCGCACTTAAGTATAAGTTGGGTCCATCAGGGGGAATGCTTGGTTCTTGTGCTGGTGAAACTGTGTGGAGGAGGAGATGTATATAAGTAAATCTGAGGAGGAGAATGGCAGCTCTGTCTGATACAGGTAAACAAGGTTTAAAGTAGGGGTGTGCCTTTTCCTATTATTCCTTTGAAAGTAGTCTCATCTCCACCCATTGTTAATGCAAATCAGCTGCTGGGCAGACAACTTAGAAAACTGTCATAATACAGCAAAATGCTTGGGGAAAAGTGCATCTGGAATATGGTATAATATGAGATGCGTGGAATATAATTGTTAAATCTTGGCTGCATTCTGACTACTTCTCCAAAGAATCTCCCTGGCTGTCTCACACCAATAGCAATATTCCAAATTTGATACAATAGCAAGACTTGACTCTGCCACTGATTTGCTGCATGACCTCGGCCAGTCACTTCATCTCTCTGAGCTATATTTCTGCCACTGAAAAACAGGAATTATGCCCCCCCTCCATGAAGCACTCTGAGCTCTTAAGATGAACAGTGCTATTATGAAGGGCAATTCAGTTCCTAGCATAGTCTTTAAACTACCTGGACCCACCTCCTCACTCAAAAGTCAAAGCCAAACCCTGAAGAGCAGTCATTCCCATGAGAGTGATCCTTCCTCACACTCTGCATATGCTCTCAATCCCTTTTTTCAGTGGGTGTTTGGAAACTAGGTCTTGTGCGTATGGAATAGCTAGATATTTTTAGCTGCTTCAAAGTCTGTTTGATGTTCCTACCTTTATTTGACTGACTTTTCACTCCACAGCATATTCTAAACAGAATTGCCAGGCCACCACTGCAGGTTTTGAGCTTGGGTGTTTCCACTAAGAGCACACACCTGTTTGAGAAGAGTGGCTTTCCCATCTGATGCAGCTTAGGTGGTTATGGTGACAGACGCTCTCGCCCTGAAAGCATCAGGGAGTGGAGCTGACTGGATCTACACATGCAGTACAGAGCTGACTTTGAGTTCTACAGACATTCTAGAATCTTTAGGGTGGGTCATAGGATGGAAAAATACGAACCGGCTTAGTCAACTTCAGAGTCCCTTAGTAAGGGCAGAAAAGAGTCCAGTCAGAACTAGACCCTGGTGTTTTGCAAATGCTAAATAGCATGTAATAAAACCAAGAAACAAAAAAGCCTATTAAATGAAAATCATACTGTGCAGTGGTGATTCCTGCCTTGGAAGGCTACACCCATCTCGCCACTCTAGGCATTGCAACATAGTGCATGGAGTTGCAGTGCTGCTCAGGTTTAGTCCAGCTATCCCTCTATCATGATGGGAGTGGCCAGGCGAAATATGGCATTGCAATCTGGGCCAAATTTGATCAGCACTCCAACCCCATGCACTAGGTTGCAACACCCACAAAGGGAGCTGGCCCAGCCATATGGGACAAGAGCTCCTGCCACATAGAGTGCTCAGGATGCGTTCTGCAATACCCTCCATCGCCAGGAATGACCTGACCTCCCCCAGGTCTTTCTGATTTCCTCAGGATCTCCAGAGCCAGTCCCAAGGGGCAGGACCTGACACCCCTACCTTTAGGCTTCCAACTTCCTTCTTCCCCTTCTCGCCCCTCCCCAGGGAAGAACTCAGGCTCTCTCCACGGTCTTTCACCCTTGAGTCATGGGGCAGAACCCAGCCTCTTGAGGCTTCTGACTCCCTGGGGTAGGAATTGGTTCCCCCTCCCCAAGCCTGTCACGACATAAGGAAATAAAATAAAATTCCCTAAAATTAAAGCACAATTATAAAAATCTAAAAAAGCATTTCACTTGGCTCTGTTCATACCTAAAGGGTTGTTAATGCAATTGGAACTTGCTGATGGATTTGTGTAGTTTGCTTCTGAGAGCCCTGGCCTGTATCTAGGTTTATCTTGGCTCGTTTCCATGGCAAAAGATTGTTAGCTTCTGCCTGCTGTGAGTGATTAGTGTGGCTGAGCAGAGAGAGAGGGTAGGCCAAAGCAGACAGTGATATCCCTGCTGGGTGGAGGTGAGAGTCACTGTTTTTTAACAGAGGCTCTCCAGTCTGGCGGGGCTGAGAGTCCCTTGTTAGAATGGTGAGTATTTGTGGCCTATCCCTGAAAGGTACATTAGCTGAAAAATTACATTTCTGCCTGGCGACACTACTGTTATAAGTAACACCTACCATCCCCATGATAGCACCCTCCAATCCTCTGGTTCCCCAGCCTGAGAACTGTGGGATCCTTTTTCATTCCTGCCCTTCCTTCTCCTCTCTTACCCATGACTTCCCCAAACTATGCTGCTGATTTCCATACATTTCCAAAATTCATCCCTGCTGCCAAAATATAAATCCCTGCTCTTGTAATTTCTTGTCCTGGCTGCATTGATCTGTGCCATCAATTCTCCTCTCTCCAGTCCTGGTTCTGACCACTTCTACCTCCTACATTAGTATCTTCTCTGGCTTCCCTTCTATATTAAGTTCAAGGTTCTTGCTCTTAAGCTGTCCTTCAGCTCAACCCTCATCCCATCCCTTTGATCTGCACTCATTTAGCTGCTGCTGCCTTTGAATACTTCCTGCTTTTTTTCATGCCATCTCATGTGCCTCGACTAGCCTCCCACTTCATGTTAAATTGAGCTCCCTCCCTGCTCTATTTCTGGAAATTGCTACAGAGCCACCATGTTCTGACTACAGTGCGCTAACTGTTCTACCGGTTTTTTCCCCCTGTAGACTATGACCTCCCTGGGGCATTGTGCAAGCTTTTGTCTGACAAATTATAGCTGTTATTTAGTGTTGAATACACCGGCACCAGCAAATCATTCACAACACTGTCTTATTGGTATCAGGAAGGTTTTGTCTGAGAGCTTCTTACCAGTCCTGCCCCTTTAGTGGTAGCTAGGTTTCCAGCGGTGTCCGACAGTTGCTGAAAGCAGCTTTCTCCCTGGCACTGTCCTATGCATTTTCTAAGCTACTTTAAGGTAGCAGTAAGACTTATTAATGCTGCTTTTTTGTCTTATGTGAAGCTAGTGGGATTGGAGTTATATGCACCTTCTTTGATATAGTTCACCCAAGGCTAACTGCAGCAGATGCCTCTGGTTAGTAACCCCTAGAGCAGTGGTCTCCAACCTTTTTAACCACAAGATCACCTTTTCAATTTAAGTGCAATGTAAGATCTACCTCACACCTAAATATCCTTGCCCCACTTCCTTCCCACCCCTTCTTTGAAGCCCTGCCCCTGCTCCACGGCCTCACCCTGCTCACTCCATCCCCCTTCCTCTCTGATCCTCACTCACTTGCACAGGCTGGGGTAGGGAGTTGGGGTGCAGGCTCTGACCTTGGGTGAAGGGGTTTGGAGTGTGGGATGGGCTCAGGGCATCGCCCAGGGTGGAGGATTGGAGTCCAGGAGGGGTTTTCGGGTGCAAGCTCTGGGAAGGAGTTTGAGTGCAGGGGGACTCCAGTCCGGGGCAGGAGGTTGGGTGCAGGAAGAGGAGGTTCGTGGCTGGGACAGGAGTTCAGGAAGCAGGCTTTGTCTGGTCACCGTTTAACTGAGATGGTTTCCAGAAAATAATGAAATGCACAGACCGGTCAAAAACCAAAAATAACCTACTATGCAAGCAGTAAAAGTAGTAACAACCTCCCCCCCCACGCACACACATGTTGGGTCAGAGATGAAAGTGAAGGACAGTTGGTGTTTGAGAGAGTCACTCTCATGCACTGTGTGTACCTGTCAGAGATTTGCATTGCCAAGCTCCCTCCATCCCCTTCTCTCTGTGGAGATGGGGTTCAGAAGTGGGAGGAGGATGGACACCCTGACATACACACCCCTCTTCTCCCTCCCACACCCTGCACAGCAAGCAGGAGGCTTCCCAGGGGGCAGCTTTAAGGCAGAGGGCAGGAGCAGCATGATAGCGGGTGGAGGGGCAACTGAAGAGCCAGTGTTTAATAGCTTCCTGGCCAAACCAGTCAGGATCACCTGTCGGAGGCACCAAGGTCTACTGGTTGGTGACCACTGGCCTAGATGATTAGTACAGTATCTGCTAATGGAAGGATGTCCCAACTGCTGCAGTTCTAGCCTTTCCCACTAGGAGTAGAAGAAATTGGTGCCAAGCAGTAACTTCACTGCCCCCCAACACCTTTGTAGTAAAAAGATGAGGGATCAAAGAGGACAGAACCCCAATGGACACTTACCTCACAAATCAAGAGAGTTGTGATCTTGGTACCTTTATTGTTGTGGCTTGGTACAAGTGAAATGAGGCAAAGACAGACTTATAATGACAGATACATTTATTCTCACCTGTGATTACTTACAGCTGATTATTCAAAGCATGCTCTAAGAAGCAATATCTACATAATTGTTCCACTTGCTAATAAGATGTAGAATTCGCTGTTGCTATGTTGTGAGCCGTTTTGTCTGCTTACCTTTTTCCAGTTACAAGGTTGATGGGAATGCTGCCCATCACACAGAGTTGGGAGGGGAGATACAAAAATGCACTGGAAAAGGAACATCCTGAATCATTATCTCGATTGTCTTTGCTTCACTTGGCTTTGAAATACAGGAGCTGCCATCTCCTCCAAACTGTCCAGTTACCCAGGAA